TCTTTCAGGTTTTCAGGGAGGATTTACTGACATCCGTGTGGTACAAAGGCGAGTCCTGCTTTGGTTTTCTCTCTTTCAGTTACAGATTGTGTCACATGGTGTAACATTTATGTTGCAAACAGCCACACACTGACTAATCAAAGCCTCGGCTTACACCGAATAAATCATGTCAATTCAAATAACTCCCTTTCTATGGCACGGCTTCTCATAATGGATTTTCTGTCTGTATACACAGGCATTATAAATAAATCATAACTATAGAGCAGCATGTTGGAAATTATAACCTGGAGCCTGAGCTGCAAGCCTCTGTGGTCAGCAGGCTGGATGGAGACACAGCTGGTGAACAACTTTTATGAGACAGTTTTTGAAAGTAGTTTTAATTTTTTAAAGAATTTTCTTATGTGAGCGACTCTAAAGTGCTTATCTGTGTACGTGTGTGTGTGTGTGTGTGTGTGTGTGTGTGTGTGTGTTAATCCATTGTCAATATAGCACTTTTCTTGCTCTTTGTGTCTGACAACGTTGTAGTTGTGTAAAGGTGAGAGGTGAGAGGTCATAGTGTCAGCTGGAGTGTGTGTCTGGTATTTGGCACAGCTGCACCAGGAATACAAAGGGCATGCACACACACAGGCACACACAAGCACACACACAAACACACACACACAAATAATCTTAGGCACAAAGCAGTGGAGGGAAGCAAGTGAACTCAGTCACCTGGTAAACCCGTTTCAACAAACAAAGCTACTGTGATATTTATCCAAAGTCTATCACCCATAATTTTGTCTTTATTTCTTTTATTCTTTATTTTGATGTTTTAAACTTTTTAAACGTATCCAGAGTGTCCTTTGAGTCGTTGTATGTCACGATAAACTCTAATCCAAGAAGCACTTGTACAGAATGAGTGGATGGATCGGACGCGTGTCACTACGAGTCGCTTCTTCTTAATGTTTAATATTTTTGGAGTTTTTTAAGGTCTCTTTATGAGGAACACAGTGAGCTTTATTCCTTCTCTGCGCATGCTTTCCTCCCCAGTAATCCTCTTTCTGACGTTATGTGCATACAGAGTTTAATCTGCGTGTCCAGCTGCTTTGTGTTTTCTGTTAAGTCAATGAAGCTGCTCGTTAGCAGAGTGTACCGACTCCTGTTAGCAGTTACTTTGTCGATACGCACAAGCGCAGTTTATCTCACACTCCTGTGAGTGTGTCTGTTTGCAC